ATCATTCCCTCACTACTCCCAGCCCAATAATTTAGCAATGCTTCCCAGTTACGAGCTGTCGTGGTTAGACGAATATGGGAGATTGTTTGTTTATAACATAGAACAGAAGACTAAGCCCAAAGCTGTTTCTGAAAAGCATTTCAAATATGTACTACATATGGCTGTTTTCGAAAACAAAACACTAATTACACAAACTACACAACGCGACGAAGTTAAAATGCGGTTTATTGGAAACCGACAAACTATGAAGTTTAGTAATACCTACCAAAGCATCATAGTTGGTTGAGCGTTGCCATTATCATGATAGAACCGCGTTCGATTCCCCACATGGGTACAATGTGTGAAACCCATTTCTGGTGTCCCCGCCGTGATATTGCTGGAATGGTGCTAAAGGCGGCGTAAAACCATACTCACTCACTCACTCACATTTCACAACCCCTCAGTATATGATATATTCCATGAAAATGTGCCCTTTCAACGACGAATTAGATGTCAAACGGAAAATCAAAACCATAACACAATCCTAATTATCTCCCATTAATTAGTAAGTGAGTGAGTGGTTTTGCGTCGCTTTTAGCAATATTCCAGCAATATCACGGGGGGGGGGCACCAGAAATGGGCTTCAGAAAATGTAGGCACGTAGGGAGTCGAACCCGTGTCTTCAACGTGACAAGCAAATGCTTTAACCAATAGGCTACCCCACCACCCCTCCCTTTAAATAACATCGTGCTACGGATTGTGAAATATGGTGACATTCGAAATTCAATATTCGCTTATATATTTCGATTTATGTAGAAATGTAGCACGTAAAAGGCGACTAACGGGATCGGGTTAGGTTTGATCTTCAGCAACCCATGCATGTTGACTAACGGGATGTGGTGGGCAGGCTCAAGGACTTGGTTGACACATGTCATCGTATCCCAATAGCGTAGATCGATGCACATACTGTTAATCACAAGATTGTCTAGTTTAGATTATTTAGACTCGATTATTTACAGACCGCCTGGATATAGATGAATTATTGCTACAACTGAGATTTCTTCAGTCTTTGCAATCGATCACACTCCACCCTCATGAAATGACGTTAAAATGTCAAACCTGTGGCTGGCACGCGGCATAAAAAGAATAAAAGCAGGACTGGTAGGCTCCGACTGATTTGACAGTGACAACAGTCAAGGCGGTTCCAAACGAACCTTCTTCAACCATTTCGTCATTCGTAAAAAGATCTGCAGATGTATGAGAGCAGGCATCCCGACAGTCCTCGCCAAATGTCTTCGCTATTCATATCCGTAAAGATCCGGGTTAGAATTGATCTTCAGTAACCCATGCTTGTCGTAAGAGGCGACTAACGGGATCGGGTGGTCAGGCACGCTGACTTGGTTGACACATGTCATCGTAGCCCAATTGCGTTTTGACAGTAGATTTTGTACAATGCCCTGACAATGCTATGACGTCATGTACTTGATGACGTCACAATGCTATGACATCGCTACACTGCAAGTCTAATGGCAGTACCATGTTCAGAGATGTACATTTTTCATTGAAAATTAATGAAGAGTGATTTTGGATGATAAATAGAATCTCACCCTCGTGTCTTCTGATATCAAATATATCAACACTCGTTGATAAAGTAAAAATATCCTCGGCAAGCCTCGGATATTTGTAACTTTATCAACTCGTGTTGATATAATTGATATCAGAAGACACTTGGGTGAGATTCTCTATTTATCATCCAAAACTGTGTTCCACAGGAAATATCGCTTGTGTTAGATCATATGATATCATAGGAGATATCGTTTTGACAGTAGATTTTGTACAATGCCCTGACAATGCTATGACGTCATCAACTTGATGACGTCACAATATTATGACATCACTGCACTGCAAGTCTAATGATAGTACAGTGTTGAGAGATGTACATTTTTCAATAAAAACTAATGAAGAATGATTTTTGATGATAAATAGAATCTCACCTTCGTGTCTACTGATATCAATTATATCAACACTCGTTGATAAAGGTAAAAATATCCTCGGCAAGCCTCGGATATTTGTAACTTTATCAACTCGTGTTGATATAATTGATATCAGTAGACACTTGGGTGAGATTCTCTATATATCGATGCTCATGCTGTTGATCACTGGATTGCCTGGTCCAGACTCGATATTTACAGACCGCCGCCATATAGCTGGAATATTACTGAGTGTGGCGTAAAACTAGACTCACTCACTGAAATCGACATTGTAGGTTTCTAAGATGATCTTCCATGCTGACTCGATCGCTCATAGACAAAGACGACGCCATGTACGTATGTGAACATTGATAGTAGTACCTACCTGACCACATGTACATTCCTGTCCGCAAATGTAACGGAACTATGTTTTCAGATTAAATTACTTATGTTTGTGAGGAATTTTAATTAAAGTTTATGATGAGCTCGAGCGTTGTCTTTTCATTTTTCGAAATGCACGAGTGAAGAGTTACGTCCCTCGTCCGTGACAGGATCCGCTGATCGTATTTCGAATTTGAAATTCGCCCTGATAATAGAATAGAATAGAATAGAATAGAATAATACTTTAATGCCTTTTCAGGAATTTGTTTTACATCAGCAGAGCTACTGACACATTAGAGAGATACCAAACATATTTACATAAATTCTTTGATTTAGGCATCTTCACATTTGTTTAAGAGAGATATGGTACTTGGAATAATGGATGTACGGGCTCTCTTAGTTTTCACAATTGGAACTTTGTATCGGCGGCCTGAAGGAAGAAGGTTGTATTCCGAATTTAAGTAGTGAGTACGGTCAGATATGATTTTGACAGCTTGATTTGGTCCTTGGTTTGACTGCGTTATCCGTGCTTGTTGATTTTACGAAAATGGTGATCCGATTCCCTTTATGCTCCGTGAAGACCCGGATGAGAATTGGTTTTGCAGAAACCCATGCTTGTCGTAAGAGGAGACAAACGTGAAAAGGTGGTCAGGCTCGCTGATGCAGGTGAAGTTCATGATTTCACTGGATTGCCTGGCCCAGAATCGAGTACCTATGACTGCCGCCATAAAACTGGAATAGTGCTGACAAACATACACACAAAAGCAAAACCTACGTTTACGATGTGTTTGTTATTTAACGAAGAACTCAGCAATATTCCAGCTCAAGACTGCCATCTGTAAATAATCGACTCTGGGGCCGGGTTTACGTTGTGCCTTCCTGCGACGATCCGTGAAGATCCGGGTTAGAATTGATCTTCAGTAACCCATGCTTGTCGTAAGAGGCGACTAACGGGATCAGGTGGTCTTGGTTGACACATGTCAGCGTATCTCATTTGCGACTGTATAGTCCAGACTCAATTATTTACGGACCGCCGCCATATAGCTGGAATATTGTTGAGTGCGGCGTAAATCTAAACTCACTCACTCACCTTCCTGCGACATTAACCTGACAGTGCGTGATACAGCAAAGCTAATTAAAAAACGCACTGTGCAAATAATGGCATTAATAGAATGAAACAATATCAATATAAATTCTGTGCCAGAGGGGTTCGTGGGTTCTCATGATGTCAATCATCGGGTTGTCTAGTTCGGGCCGTATTATTTACACAACACTATACACGAGTGTCCAATGGACTCTCAATTTGTGAAGAAACCATTGTTCACATATTTAACCCAAAAAGGAACAAACATGTCCCGGTCGTCTTTCGCTGTGCCTGACATGATTCTGAGTTCGAATCCAGGTCATCAAGGTTTCCTTGGTTTCTCCCGTCCTCGCAGGGTTCGTTAAAGTAGTAAACGTCTAAATTTAAATATGATTAACCAATCTGCTTCATCATAGTGTATATTTTAAAACCGCAAGTTATTACTATTTCACTTCTGAAAAGTAATAACTCGTCCATACACAAGCAGATCAGAAATAAAAAACGTTTAAAGTGTGTCAATACAAATCTATGTATTCTCTGCCATTCCTCATCGAGCTCCTGCAGTAATTCCTGGTTTGAATAGAAGGATTTCCAGCTCGAACTTGTCGAACTTGTCGATATTGATATTCGGGTGGATACCGGGGTTCAATGGTAATGTATCCATGACGTTGTTCTGCAAATTTGCGATGACAGCTCCAGAACGGCGCGATCTAACGTTGTCAGCCGGCAAGGTTGTGAAAATGAGACACGACGGCGGTATGATGTACTTCCTTTCGGTAATGTTGTTCATTGAGTGTCCAAAAGTGAGTGAGTGAGTGAGTTTAGTTTTACGCCGCACTCAGCAATATCCAAGCTATATGGCGGCTGTCTGTAAATAATCGAGCCTGGACCAGACAATCCAGTGATCAACAGCATGAGCATCGATCTGCGCAATTGGGAACCGATGACATGTGTCAACCAAGTCAGCGAAACTGACCACCCGATCCCGTTAGTCGCCTCTTACGACAAGCAGAGTGTCCAAAGTACCGTCATGAGATGCAGCCATGCGAAACGCACCCCCACACCATCACGGTGTCACCTCCAAAGGGTTCATGCAGCTGCATTGGTCATCTGGTGGTATACCTCATTTAGACGTATTCATGCAGGTCGGTGACTGAAATGAATCCGATATTATCGCCCATAGGCTGGACCTTTGATGCCTAGCAACGAACAACAAAAAAAGGTATGCTTAAAATGCTCGGTCCCGTTTCACTGAGGGATTTTTAAAATAACGTTGCGAATATTATAAGTCGATTTAAAAGTTACTTTAGTATAAGTGTAACGATAATCTACATTCTCCGGCGCAACAATGACCTCGCTGGCTTCATATCATGAAAGTGCCATAAGTGTCACTAGGCGATTAAAAAGACGGTATCCGGTTCCCTTGGCGCGTCAACCAAAGCGATATGAGAGACAGGGGGCAGATCGGGGAACCAGTCAACATCGGTAGAGATCGGACCGGATTCTCTATGACGCCACAATGTCTTGACGTCATCCATTGAATGACGTCATAATATCATCCTAGCTGACAGCTGTCATGACAACATAACATAACATATGACTCGCACACCCAGAGGACTAGCGACCGACAGCGTGGATAAGTCGCAGTGGCCAGCTGTCGTTATGATGAACTTTGCAAGTCCGGCCGAAGTGCGAAATGTTGTCAGCAGGAACACATGGACTGTGCTGGTGCAGAAAGCTTGATATCATACGACATACGTGAGTAGGCAGTTATATTAGAAACGACAGGAGTTACAGGGGTCAGTCATTACAAATGAGGGGCGCTGGGTAGCCCAGCGGTTAAGTGTTCGCTCGTCACGCCAAAGACCCGGGTTCTATTCCCCACATGCGTACAATGTGTGAGGCCCATTTCTGGAGTCCCCCGCCGTGATATTGCTGGAATATTGCTAAAAGTGGCGTAAATCTAAACTCACTCATCACAAAGGACATGCTGCGGGTGTGTTTGGAGGTGTATTCCACTGCAATCAATCACTGAATTGATAACTCAATCACCTGTAATATACTATAGCATTAAACTATACATGCAACACATACAGTTACACATAACTAGTTCCTTATAAATTACTTATCATTACTAATACTTACGGCTATTATTACTAATACATAAAACGCTACATATTTTTTTTAATTGAACATACTGATGATAAATCATGTGTATATACCCTGTGAATGACACCGGGGTGTGTCTGTAAACACACTATATTCGGGATTATCACATTCCTAAAACAAATAATAAATACAATATCTTATGATGGTGACATTTACATTGAAAAAAGCCAACTTCTTATTTAGAATTACATTCAAACTACCAGTCAAATCATGCTCTCACATACATTTAGATATGTCATACTGATGAATTTAAAGGTATATTAGCTGCTTGATCTATAAAAGATTAAAACATGTATTTACAATACTTTACATTATTTTTAGCATCAGTTTTAGCTTTGTCATTTCAAGTTGTTTAATGATTATTAGTCATTAACTTAGCTGTATGTGGTTGGGTTGGAAAGATTACAGAATATACCGGATACCTCCGCCATCTTTGAAAACTTTAGAACTGCGCAGAAAATGTTGGAACACAACTCGAGTTGTAAGTACTTCGCTATCTTAGTGTACTTACCTTTTTTGGACTTGGATACCCGTTATTATCTTCTTTAGGACTAGTTTAACGAATAGGGTTAGGGTTAGGAAACTTTCCCACGTTCATTCCTCCAACTCCCAGAATTCCGTAGCTCCGTGTTTTTCAAAGACGCATATATTTCTATTTTACGCATATATTTCTAACTTACCAGACTTAACTCAGACTTAAGCTGATTTTATAGTGCTAGCTCACGGACATACCATGCCGCAGTTAAGCATGAATACCCCTCTCAGACACATTATTCTGAGCCGACCAGTCCAAGGTTGGTTCCCCAGGACGGAACCAACAAGTATAGCATATTTAACGTCTTTAGGTATGACGGCGATCGAACCCGTCGCCCGCGACCTTTAGCTTATTTCTTACTCACTCACTTACTCGCTCATTCACTCACACACTCACTCACTCATGCATCGGCTATATATCTATTTCAGGCCAGGCTTTCTTATATGAGAGCATGTCGAAGGCAGTAGAGAATCACAACATGGCGGAGTCTATTCGGGAAGAGGTTCTGTCCTGCCACATCTGTCTGGAGGTTCTCACGGAGGCCAGGACGCTGCCGTGTCTCCACACCTACTGCAAGGCCTGTCTCATGAAAATGGTGGAGATCAAAAACAAGAAGGTCCGCATTATCAGGTGCCCGGAATGCAGGGAGGAGGTGAGACTGTACAAGGCAGGCGTGGAGGACCTGCGGTGCAGCTTCTTCATCAACAGTTTGATGGAGATTTATAACACCAAGAGGCAGGTGTTGAAGTGCACCGTGTGCAAGCAAAGGCGTGAAAACAGGACAGCAGTGAGTAAATGCACTACCTGTGGCGACGGCCTGTGTGACACTTGCAGTAAAGGACATCAACTATCCACAACTACCGTCCACCACAAGGTTCTCCCTCTGGGAGAGTTCGCATCTGGAGACTACGATCAGCATCTTCGGGAGGCCCAGACCTTCCCCTGCGTGTCCCACCAGAAGGAGCTGGAGTATTACTGCGAGACGTGCGAGAAGGTGGCCTGCTTGTCTTGCCTACTAGTGGATCACAAGGACCATACGTACTCCACAATTCCACAAGCGTACACCAGCAAGAAGGAGCTTCTTGAGACCATGTTCTGTCAAGTCGAGTCTAAAGTGACCCAGATTGAAGAAACTAAAAACACGTTGAGCACATGTATGATGAAGCCGATAAACAAAGCCGCGAGGTCATCAGAACAATAATGGAGACAGGCAAGGCTGTGCTTCGAGCTGCAGAAAGAGAGATTACACTGACTAAACAAACGTCCAAAACACTGATCGAATCTCGACTTGCCACATTAACCAAAGTTAAAGAGAACCTGGAGAAGCAAATAAAACAGGAAAAATCTTCTGTAGAATTCTGTCGCCGCGTTCTGTCGAACGGCAAGCCTGTGGAAGTATTGGAGATCGGGGATATGTTGAGGAAGAGGCTGGATCAGCTGAGTCTGGTAGAGAACCAGGTGGACATACAAGAGCTGGACTCCAACACACGTATCGAGGACACTGTTGTGAACTACAAGTTCCAAGGGGACTTCTCGCTGGGTATCTTCAAGCCAGAAATAGAAAAATCAGTCCAAGAAGTAGAAACACAAACTGATTTCACACAGGCAGAAATTCGAACCAATGAAGTATCAACTCAGTACACTTCAGAAGACTTCGATGACCAGGAGTCACAAGAGGCTGGTGTTGAGGGAGAGAGGGATTCTCCAGCTGTAGGTCCCCCAGGTGGGGAGCAGGCGGTCACCGGTGATGGAAACATCCTCCACACACCTGTTGACAACAATCTGTCCCCAGACAGGTCAGCAGGCGCTGCAGGAAACACCTGGGCTTGTGGGGCTGGACGGGGGTCTGAAGATGGTTCAGCACCTGTAGCTTTGACGGCAAATGGTCTTGTGGATACAAGCTATGACTGCCGGGGACCAGGGCAGAGGGATGCTTCTGTCTTTGATTTCTTGTCCCATGCACTGTTTATCTACATTTTCTGTACGATGTTCCTGTGGGATCATTTCAGTGGTTATGTTTTGGGGAAACTATCGTGAAAATTAATGAGCTAACTCTGCTAAAGATGTTGTAATGCTAGAATCATGAAGTTTTAATTGGGTCATGTTCAGAGGGATTAAAACTACTAGGAGGGGCGTGGGGGTGTTGTGGGGTAGGGAAGGGTGTGCGTGTATGAATCAAAACTGTTTGTTTGAAACTGAAATCAATCTTTCATAAAAACCAAAGATTTTTTGGGAAGTAAACATATATTTCATCGACTTTGATTTCATGATGTTTCTTGGCTCTTGCGTCAGTTTCTGGCATCTAACAATTGTTATCTTAACCTACAGGGACCCTATCCACAAAGCGTTCATAGCACTACGTCATTCGTCAGCCAATGATGTAGTATAGAGTTACGATAGGTCGTAACATTACGAACGCTTTGTGAGTGAGTGAGTTTAGTGTTACGCCAAACGCTTTGTGGATCGGGACCCAAGATCATAATCGGAACACCATCTTGGATCTTCGCCCATCAGATCCTGGCAGATAGGAAATTATTTGCTGCACAATTGTTAAGGAATGACAAGAATGTCCATGTTGGACTTCAAGTGAAATATCGTAGAATATCTGCGGGAACTACCATTTTATGGGGATTTGTATACACTAAATTTGTCCATCATGTTGTGCATACAACAGACATGGGGTCATATAGTGACGAGTTCCTTACCTAGTCAGGTAATGAAAATTGTTGTGCGCAGATCATGGAAGACAAATGAACCCGACAAATTTTGTACATAATCTACCATGGCCTGATTGTGAAGCAGTGTGCAGAGCAGGTGGCCGAGGGGCACGACGCATGGTGATTGTTGAATGAAATATATAGTTGCTGTAACCTGAGCGCTCATTTGTCTATGAACTTGGTGGTATCCCAGTTGCTGACACCTGGCCGTTGCTTGATTCGTTGGTTTAATACAGAGTCAGTTGATTAAACGCTGCCTCAGCAATTTTGCAGCTATATGAGAGATGTCTGAAAACAACTAAGTCTTGACCAGACAATCTGGTGATTGACATCACGAGCATCGTTTTATGTAATTGAGATATGAAATGCAAGTCAGCGAGCCTTACCCCCCGATCCCGTTAATTACCTCTCACGATAAGCACTTGTTGCTTTTAAAAGACCAATTCTAACACGGATCTTTACGTGTGGTTTGATAAAGTGACTGTACTGAATAGCTCCATTATTGCTGATGCGCTATACTCCTCTAAAGATTTGGCTTTGGGAGTGAATGAGTTTAGTTTTACGCCGCACTCAGCAATATTCCAGCTTTATGGCGTCTGTCTGTAAATAATCGAGTCTGGACCAGACAATCACGTGATCAACATCATGGGATACGATGGCATGTGTCAACCGAATCAGCGAGTCTAACCACCCGATCCCGTTAGTCACCTTTTACGACAACCATGGGTTACTGAAGATCAATTCTAACCCGGGTCTTCAAGGGTCATTGCTTTGGGAACTATCCACTCTCCTCTAAAGACATTGCTGAGGCACTATCCACTCTCCTCTACAGACATTGCTGGGGCACTATCCACTCTCCTCTACAGACATTGCCGGGGCACTATCCACTCTCCTCTACAGACATTGCTGGGGCACAATGCTGGGGCACTCTCACCTCTACAGACATCCTGCAGGCTGGGGCATATCCTCTACAGACATTGCTGGGGCACTATCCACTCTCCTCTACAGACATTGATGGGGCACTATCAACTCTCCCCTACAGACATTGCTGGGGCACTATCCTCTCTTCTCTACATACATTCCTGGGGCACCATTCAATCTGCTCTACAGACATTGCTGGGGCACTATCCTCTCTTCTCTACATACATTGCTGGGGCACCATTCACTCTGCTCTACAGACATTGATGGGGCACTATCCTCTCTTCTCTACATACATTGCTGGGGCACCATTCAATCTGCTCTACAGACATTGATGGGGCACTATCCTCTCTTCTCTACATACATTCCTGGGGCACCATTCAATCTGCTCTACAGACATTGATGGGGCACTATCCTCTCTTCTCTACACTGAGACATTCCTGGGGCACCATTCAATCTGCTCTACAGACACATGATGGGGCACAGCCTACCTTCTGGGTACATCCATTACTGAAGATCATTGCTAACCCGGGTCTTCAAGGGTCATTGCTTTGGGAACTATCCACTCTCCTCTAAAGACATTGCTGAGGCACTATCCACTCTCCTCTACAGACATTGCTGGGGCACTATCCACTCTTCTCTACAGACATTGCTGAGGCACTATCCTCTCTTCTCTACAGACATTGCTGAGGCACTATCCTCTCCTCTCTACATACATTCCTGGGGCACCATTCACTCTCCTCTACAGACATTGCTGAGGCACTATCCGCTCTTCTCTACAGACATTGCTGAGGCACTATCCTCTCTTCTCTACATACATTCCTGGGGCACCTTACAATCTGCTCTACAGATATTGATGGGGCACTATCCTCCCTTCTCTACATACATTCCTGGGGCACCATTCACTCTCTCTACAGACATTGCTGAGGCACTATCCTCTCTTCTCTACAGACATTGCTGGGGCACCATTCACTCTTCTCTACAGACATTGCTGAGGCACTATCCACTCTCCTCTACAGACATTGCTGGGGCACTATCCACTCTCCTCTACAGACATTGCTGAGGCACTATCCACTCTCCTCTACAGACATTGCTGAGGGCACTATCCACTCACTCTCCTCTACAGACATTGCTGGGGCACTATCCACTCTCCTCTCTACAGACATTGCTGGGCATTGCTGAGGCACTCAGACATTGCTGGGGCTTCACTCTCTCTACAGACATTGCTGAGGCACTATCCACTCTTCTCTACAGACATTGCTGAGGCACTATCCACTCTCCTCCTACAGACATTGCTGGGGCACTATCCACTCTCCTCTACAGACATTGCTGGGGCACTATCCACTCCCCTACAGACATTGCTGAGGCACTATCCACTCTCCTCTACAGACATTGCTTTGGGAACTATCCACTCTTCTCTACAACCAATGCTGGGGCACTATCCACCTTCTCTACAGACATTGCTGGGGCACTAAACTCTCTCTTCTACAGATATTGCTAGGTCACTATCCACTTTCTTCTACATACATTGCTGAGGAACTTTCCACTCTCCTCTACATACATTGCTGGGGCACTGCTCAATCTAATTTTCCATGATAAAACAACCACCAATTATATACATTTATTGAGATTCTGCACAAAATAAATACATCACACATATTGCAGTTACATAAAACAACAAATTGTGACTTCATCGCACAGACCATACAACAGTTATGACACATCACTGACATTAATCAACGTACAGATATAAAAACATGTATCATCTTCAAAATACTTATCATTTCAAACACAATTCATATTCTCCAAACCACATCACATGGATCCCTGAAACAAATCTGACAATTTCAATTGAAAACACATCTTTAGCCCATTGGCCAAAGACTATTCCTGAAACAAGCTAGATCTATTCCAGCTATATGGTGGCGGTCTGTCAGCAATATTCCAGCTATGTGGTGGCGGTCTGGACCAGACAACCCAGTGATCAACAGCATGAGCATCGGTCTGCCCAATTGGGAACAGATGACATGTGTCAACCAAGCCAGCGAGCCTGACAACGTTAGTCGCCTCTTACTGAAGGTTCATTCTAACCCAGACCTTCACGGGTGCCTTTGATGACTAACACAGCTTCCGGGACAATTGTTGCCCCTCAATGGTTTTCACTTCCGCTTGTTTCTCACACTGATTTCACAAGTCTTGCTAGTCAGGGGCGTAGCAACCATTATCATAAAAAGCCCGGGTTTACACATGAGTGTGGCTATAAAGTTGGGCAAGCCCTCAATGCTATTTAAATATATAGCTTTGCAACCTATTGGCCTTACGCGACAAAATTGGCTTGCTACGCGCCTGCTAGTGTCAGGTGACAAACACCTTCTTTAAGTGGAATTTAGAAGCTGGTATGATGAAGAGGAACACTTTATAGACAACTTCTTTACTGGAATAGATGCGACATTTCGGTGTAGATCTTAACACTGGTAGCATTTGCTTGGTAATGGTGTTAGGATCTACACTGAAATGGTGCATCTCCAAAGTGTTCCTCCACTTGAAATACAGCTTCCTGCTCTATTTCAAACGATGTTTAACGAGCTAAAGACACAACTGTAACATGTCTGACCTGGAAAATGACATTTTAAAGTAGACTTACGCTGAAACTGTTCCTGATGCACACGATCGCTTTGAGGAACAGGGCCCTGATTTCTTGGATCATATGTTCATTATATTCATGGTTGGTTATTATATTCATGGTTCAAAAGTCAAGTCATTGAATGAAGTTACAACTTAAACATAAAATTACAACAAGGATGATGTTATATGACGAAGAGATTAACACCCTTGTGCATTTCAGCATCGTAACATATATAAAAAAACACAAATGTACATTAAGTTCACCAAAGGCTCTTTACAACTCTGGGGAGGGTGGGGGTAGCCTAGTGGTTAAAGCGTTGGCTCGTCAGCCGAAGACCTGGGTTCAAATCCCCACATGGGCACAATGTGTGAAGCCCACCGCCGTGATGTTGCTGGAATATTGCTAAAAGCAGCGTAAAACCAAACTCAGTCAGTCAGTCAGCCTTACAACTACGAATGCACGGTATTACCGTTATACCGGTATATCGCAATATAAGCCTTTCAAATGATAAGTATTGCAATGTTTTTTCTCAGAACTGGTATACTGGGTAATAAAAATATATGGGGTTTGTGATTATCTCCATGGTTTAAGAAAAATCGACACAGACTTTCATTCACACTGAGGTTTTCCATTGTAATTAATTGACAAAGCAGCATACTTTACATACAATAGAAAGTAAATACAATCCCTTAAAACCAAATTTTAATTCGAGGTTTCTGTTATCAGAACCATAACATGTATTTTAGGGTTTAGTATGCACAAAATTGGCTCTGCATGTACAATCAGTGTTATTCACTGTCAAACATTTTAGCTCCCAATATATACAGAATCTCACCCAAGTGTCTACTGATATCAATTATATCAACACGAGTTGATAAAGTTACAAATATCTTTACCTTTATCAACGAGTGTTGATATAATTGATATCAGTAGACATGAGAGTGAGAATCTATTTATCATCCAAAATCATTCTTCATTAGTTTTCAATGACAAATGTACATCTCTCAATACTGTACTAACATTAGACTTGCAGTGCAGCGATGTCATAGCATTGTGACGTCATCAAGTTGATGACATCATAGCATTGTCAGGGCATTGTACAAAATCTACTGTGAAAACGATATGTCCTAGGAGATATCATATGATCTCACACAAGCAATATCTCCCGTGGAACACAGTTTTGGATGATAAATTGGAATACGGGTACCAGTATCGCAATATATCACAATACAATTTATGGGCCAATACACAGTCCTATTTACAACACATTTGTTATTCCTAATATTATGGCTGCACAATATACTAGCAACCGGTTAACCGATATTTACCAGTTCAGACATGAAAACGATACGCATTGCAATACACTGGTCGAAAACCGGTATTTTGACATGCATTCAGAAAACTTCGTAACACTCAGAAACCTTGATGATTGTGACAATTGTAGTATTGGTGGTGGGAATGATCGTGGTGAAAATTACACTTAACTGGATTGTTAAGTTCGGTTTTAAGTTGTGTTCTTAATTTTTGTTCAAGTGTTTCGCAATGTTTTGGATCTGAACCAAGCATAGTGATTTTGTGGTGTTTTTGCTTTATAAATCAAGCATTAACTCGATTATAAGTACTTTTTTGTTTAATAAAACTTCTTGCAATATATTGCAAAACATATCACAATATATGCTTTCACACTGCAATATATCGCAATATGAAAATTCTCTGCAATACCCACCGGAGCCTAATATACGATACTTACGACATACAATGGATCCCATGCAGATCAGTGAGCATCCTCATCACAAACATGAACATTACACATAACATCTACACGATCGTCGATGTTAGAGTATAAGGCGTTACGACATGGCAGCCTAAAACAACTGGGCAGTTGTTGGACCTGCCACAGTGTACAACACAAACTAAAATATACAGTTATTCTGGAAACTATACCACATAACACTGTTTGGCAGTTTGATTGACTATCCCTCCCTCAACTGTGAACACTACATTGGAGACAATACTTTAGCTAAAATGATCAACATGGGTTTGTCAAATTATGTTGGATTTTTGTGGTACAGCAAGAATAAAATGTAAAACAAAAATGTCAGAACTGATTTGAGGTTAGTTGTTTTCAACAGAGAGACCTCAAATGAAAATACAATCACGGAGGAATGTAGACATATTTCTGTATACATGGCGGCTATAGTAGTTTGACTGCTGGGAATCATTTCCTAAAATATATACAACCTTCCTATTTTATTCCAGATCAGGGAACTTTAACAAAAGTCCGTCATTTATCAAACTCAGGATTGCCTTCAATGGAGTAGTGCAAACTCAGTGTTTGTTTGTACTCGTGAAGATCCGGATTAGAATTGATCTTCAGTAACCCATGCTTGTCGTAAGAGGCGACTAACAAATCGGGTGGTCAGGCTCGCTGACTTGGTTGACACGTCATCGTATCCCAATTGCTTAGATTGATGTTTATGCGTTGATCACCTGATTGTCTGGTCCAGACTCGATTGTTTACAGACCACCACCATATAGCTGGAATATTGTTGAGTGCTGCGTAAAACTAAACTCACTCACTCACTCTTTGTTTGTTTATTGTTTAACACAGCACTCAGCAGTATTCCAAGCTTTATGATGGCGGTCTGTAAATAATCGAGTCTGGATTAGACAATCCAGTGATTGACATCATGAGCATCAATCTATGTAATTGGTATACATTGACATGTGCCAACCAAGTCAGCAAGCCTGACCACCGATCGTTAGTCATCTCTTACAACAAGCATGGGTTGCTAAAGACCAACTCTAACCCGAATCTTCACGGGTCTTTCGGTAATAATTCAGCAATATCAAGCAAGAGACACATGAAATGAAATTCACATATTGCACCTATTTTGGAAATCTAACCTTGGCCTTCAACAGAACAAATGAACACTTTAACAACTGGGCTACCACAATGTTCCCAATTAATCAACTGTTAATATTGGAGTCTCCTCTTTACTGATGGAATAATTGATTCAAATGATTAATTTCAATTTGGTACAACTGACATCCGCTTCGAGCTTGGGTGTGAAAGGCCTCGATAAATCGATGTGAGACTTAAGAAATACAAATGTTCTAAATTGTACACAGTTTAGAAAACAAGGGACATTTGACCAATTCCACCTTGAATGTCTTATATACAACAATAAAACATGTTACAACACCTATCAGATATGGACGGACAGATGACAATTGGTGATCTCAGCTCTGTTTGATTAACTAGGTACAATAAGGCCACAAGCACAAGAAACTACCTGCTTGCCACATTTCTCCCCCAAATCACAATTCTGGGGACAAGTATTTTACAATACCTAACTATTTTCTAGTTAAGAAAAGCAAGATTTATGCAACTTCTTTATTGTGAAGTTCAGGTGATGAAGGAGTAAGCATACGCTCCAAAATGTCGTGTTATTCACAATAAAGAAGCAGACATCCATAAATCTTGCTTTTCTTATGCATTCCACTTCTAAATGTCCTTCAAAGATTTATTTTCTAATTAACTGCAGATTTTGATATTTTCTCTCAAATGTTAACATGCGATTAATTAAATGATACTTTTTATCATAGATTCTTCATTTTATTTTATTTTTCAAAATGTATCAAGAAAAGGTTATTGGCCTATGTTTTACACAGTTTTTTCCTTGGTAATGGAAAGGTAGGTAATTATCTAGCACCTAACAGTACCATTTTATCTCGACTAAATTTTGTCCAACAGTCTTAGACAGGACCTTGATAACTCCCATAGTTAGGCTGACAATAGTCTTAGCCCTTAGACTGTTATTTTAAGTGGCCCCAGGGAACTGTTCTACAAAAAGATGTTAGTGTTTCAGCTGCCATAAGTCTATGTTAAAATATGTGTTGTTATGATCATCTTAGTGCTAAGATCCCTTTATGAAACTATAAGTGAAACTAGTACTATGACCATCTTAAGGCTAGGTTAGAGTATGGGAGTTATGATCATCACTGCGCTGTAACACAGACTTACGATAACTGTAACGCTAAGATCTCTATGACTGTTGTAAGTCCCATCTGTAATGCAGACTTACGATAACTGTAACGCTAAGATCTCTATGACTGTTGTAAGTCCCATCTGTAACACAGACTTACGATAACTGTAATGGTAAGATCTCTATGACTGTTGTAAGTCCCATCTGTAACACAGACTTACGATAACTGTAATGCTAAGATCTCTATGACTGTTGTAAGTCCCATCTGTAACTATCTGTAACACAGACTTACGATAACTGTAATGGTAAGATCTCTATGACTGTTGTAAGTCCCATCTGTAACACAGACTTACGATAACTGTAACGCTAAGATCTCTATGACTGTTGTAAGTCCCATCTGTAACACAGACTTACGATAACTGTAATGGTAAGATCTCTATGACTGTTGTAAGTCCCATCTGTAACACAGACTTACGATAATTGTAACGCTAAGATCTCTATGAGTGTTAAAGTCCCATCTGTAACACTGACTTACGATAATTGTAACGCTAAGATCTCTACGACCCTTAAAAGTCCCATCTGTAACACTGACTTACGATAACTGTAATGCTAAGATCTCTATGAGTGTTTAAGTCCCATCTGTAACACTGACTTATGATAATTGTAACGCTAAGATCTCTACGACCCTTGTAAGTCCCATCTGTAACACTGACGATAATTGTAACGCTAAGATCTCTATGACGTTTGCAATTCCATCTGTAACAGACTTACGATAACTATAATGCTAAGATTTCTATGACTGTTGTAAGTTCCATCTGTAACACAGACTTACAATAATTGCACCTATTTTGGAGGCATGTCCTTTTATCACTTTTTGTTTCAAGGACTGTTCCAGGGTTTGACATCTGTATCCCTGGTTACTGAATATATTACATGTGTTATTGTTATGAGGTAAGTCCTCTATTATCTCGATGCATTTTGAGGTATGTCTCCCCATCCACCTTGTCACACCTTCCTTGCATGAACGAGGAAGTCCCACGACTCCTGCCACGTCAAGCGCTGTATGTCCTCCTCAGAAAGAGGCTGGTTCCCGTACGTAAATGGTGTCAGCAGATAGAAAGCATACACAGCACAGGCAAACAGTGCCGCTGTTGTATATGTGACTACAGATGATATTATTCTGTTTCTGAAAGAAAAAGGGTGAGAGTTTAACACTAAAATATTTTAGTTGTATCTGTGTATTTGATATAAACATTTTGGCAATGGCACAGTGCCCAGAGAGCAAGGATCTTAATAAAGGCAGACTGGGCATTAGAAAATTTGCAAGCACCAGATCCAGGCACAACTAAGGGACACAAATCTGTACATGAAATGAAAGGAGATTGAGGTGGAAAGGGGTTTAACAGAAAAGTATTTCAGTTATATGTTTGTTGAAACATATAATTCAGAGCCAGGATCATTACCAAGGCAGACCTGGTATAAAATCAACAATCACCAGATCCTGGTACAAGTAAGGGAAACAACTATGCAGATCTACAATGTTGGTACATACCTATGAGAATGGCAATTAACACGCCAGATGACAAGACAATAAACATACCTGAGCATATGACAATAAACATACCTCCGAGTATGACAATGAGCACATACCTGAGTGTATGACAATGAGCACATACCTGAGTGTATGACAATGAGCACATACCTGTGACCTGAGTGTATGACAATGAGCACATACCTGTGAGTGTGACAATAAAGGTATGCCAGAGATAATGAGACAACACATACCTGTGACTGTGACAATAAAGGTATGCCAGAGATAATGAGACAACACATACCTGTGACTGTGACAATAAAGGTATGCCAGAGATAATGAGACAACACATACCTGTGACTGTGACAATAAAGGTATGTCAGAGATAATGAGACAACACATACCTGTGACTGTGACAATAAAGGTATGTCAGAGATAATGCCAGAGAGACAACACATACCTGTGAGTGTGACAATAAAGGTATGCCAGAGATAATGAGACTACACACATACCTGTGACTGTGACAATAAAGGTATGCCAGAGATAATGAGACAACACATACCTGTGACTGTGACAATAAAGGTATGTCAGAGATAATGAGACAACACATACCTGTGACTGTGACAATAAAGGTATGCCAGAGATAATGAGACTACACACATACCTGTGACTGTGACAATAAAGGTATGCCAGAGATAATGAGACTACACACATACCTGTGACTGTGACAATAAAGGTATGCCAGAGATAATGAGACAACACATACCTGTGACTGTGACAATAAAGGTATGCCAGAGATAATGAGACAACACATACCTGTGACTGTGACAATAAAGGTATGCCAGAGATAATGAGACTACACATACCTGTGACTGTGACAATAAAGGTATGTCAGAGATAATGAGACTACACACATACCTGTGACTGTGACAATAAAGGTATGTCAGAGATAATGAGACAACACATACCTGTGACTGTGACAATAAAGGTATGTCAGAGATAATGAGACTACACACATACCTGTGAGTGTGACAATAAAGGTATGTCAGAGATAATGAGACAACACATACCTGTGACTGTGACAATAAAGGTATGTCAGAGATAATGAGACAACACACATACCTGTGAGTGTGACAATAAAGGTATGCCAGAGATAATGAGACAACACATACCTGTGACTGTGACAATAAAGGTATGCCAGAGATAATGAGACAACACATACCTGTGACTGTGACAATAAAGGTATGCCAGAGATAATGAGACAACACATACCTGTGACTGTGACAATAAAGGTATGCCAGAGATAATGAGAGATTACACACATACCTGTGACTGTGACAATAAAGGTATGCCAGAGATAATGAGACTACACACATACCTGTGACTGTGACAATAAAGGTATGTCAGAGATAATGAGACTACACACATACCTGTGACTGTGACAATAAAGGTATGCCAGAGATAATGAGACAACACATACCTGTGACTGTGACAATAAAGGTATGTCAGAGATAATGAGACAACACATACCTGTGACTGTGACAATAAAGGTATGTCAGAGATAATGAGACTACACACATACCTGTGACTGTGACAATAAAGGTATGTCAGAGATAATGAGACAACACATACCTGTGACTGTGACAATAAAGGTATGTCAGAGATAATGAGACTACACACATACCTGTGACTGTGACAATAAAGGTATGTCAGAGATAAGGAGACAACACATACCTGTGACTGTGACAATAAAGGTATGCCAGAGATAATGAGACAACACATACCTGTGACTGTGACAATAAAGGTATGCCAGAGATAATGAGACAACACATACCTGTGACTGTGACAATAAAGGTATGCCAGAGATAATGAGACAACACATACCTGTGAGTGTGACAATAAAGGTATGCCAGAGATAATGAGACGACACACATACCTGTGACTGTGACAATAAAGGTATGTCAGAGATAATGAGACAACACATACCTGTGACTGTGACAATAAAGGTATGCCAGAGATAATGAGACAACACATACCTGTGACTGTGACAATAAAGGTATGTCAGAGATAATGAGACAACACATACCTGTGAGTGTGACAATAAAGGTATGTCAGAGATAATGAGACAACACATACCTGTGACTGTGACAATAAAGGTATGTCAGAGATAATGAGACTACACACATACCTGTGACTGTGACAATAAAGGTATGTCAGAGATAATGAGACTACACACATACCTGTGACTGTGACAATAAAGGTATGCCAGAGATAATGAGACAACACATACCTGTGAGAAATATGAGACAGGTGGTCAATGAGGGCTGCCAGCACCAGGATCTTGAACACAACAGCTGGCAGGTAGTGATGGAGGAACAGCGTTCTGTCCACCAGGAAGAACGGAACATAGTACAACAGGTAGCCCCCAACCAGCAGTTCACCTTGGAACACAAAGTTATCCCACTCCGCTGAAACGCAAACAGTTCCAAAAGGTAACAAGAAAAGTCTCAAACATCAAGCTATTCATCTCTGCTGTTAACATACTTGTACATTAAACCAAGGATTTAACTTTCAGTAACTATTACTCCTAAGAACAGGCAGTCCATAAAGGCCTAAATAGGTGCATTCCTGGTACTTAAAACATGTCAGTACTGTATTCTTTACCACAGGATAATACTAGCTGTGCTCTCTTTCTTCTGAACAGGTTCAGGTTCAGGTTCAGGTTCAGGCAAGGCAGTTCAGTAAATAACAGAAATAACCCCAGATTTCCTTGTCAAATTATCTAAACACTGACTGACTGAGTATGGTTTTACGCCACTTTTAGCAATATTCCAGCAATATCACGGCGGGGGACACCAGAAATGGGCTTCACACATTGTACCCATGTGGGATTCGAACCCGGGTCTTCGGCGTGACGAGCCAACGCTCTAACCACTAGACTACCCCACCGCCCCAATAATCTAAACAAATGAAACATAAGAGTTGGGTGTTTACAGAATAAAACCAAATGGATTCATAAAACATCTGAGAAGAAAGCCTACCATCAGTGATGTCGTAGATGTTTCTCTGTCGCCGGAGTATATAGAACACTATGAGAGCGAGGTAGGTAGCCACACTGAGGGAAGCACACCACCACACCACCGGGTTGCCCAGCAGGTGAATCTGGGCCTGGAACAACACACACAGAAGTCTCAGTGCACAGCAACATCGTCCGATAGTATAGATGTATGGAGGAATGGGCGGCTGGAGGCAGTGAGGAAGGAAGTAGCTGTTTGGGGTCAGGTCAAGGCTGTTTGGGGTAGGTCGAAGCTGTTTGGGGTCAGGTCAAGGCTGTTTAGGGTAGGTCAAGGCTGTTTCGGGTCAGATCAAAACTTTTGGGGGTCAGATCAAGGCTGTTTGGGGGTCAGATCAAGGCTGTTTGGGGTCAGGTCAGGTCAAGGCTGTTTGGGGGTCAGTGCGAGGCTGTTTGGGATAGGTAGTGAAGGCTGTATCAGGGTCAGATCAAAAGCTGTTCAGGTCAAGGCTGTTTGGGGGTCAGGTTGGAGTCCAGGAGCAGTTAAATGAGGCAGTTTGTGGACAAGTTTGGCATGATGTTGAGATGATGTTAGATGGTGTTTAGATGAGGTTGAGATGAGGTTGGCATTTGGGAGCAGGCTGACACAGTTTCAGGTTGGTTTAGGGTCTGGTGGGGATCAGAGGTGGTATGCTCCAGGTTGGGCTGGAATCAGGTTCTGTTGGGGTAAGATTGGGGAACCAGGTGGGTTCTGTTTGGGTGGGTGGGTGTCATATGGAATCTGTACAATGTGAGCTGGGGGTCATGTGGTATCTGTCTCGGACCAAGAAAAATTCGACAAAACATTTCATTTGTCAGATACAATAAACACCATTGGATCCAACACATTGTCATAAATAATTAAGCCACCTTTATATGTAATGCCTTAGAAGACACATTACATGAATACAAAAAGAGATACAGCTGAATCAGCTATATAAAATACACCCAATACATAAATAACTTTCCACTAATGCTTCTGCTAAACATATTTGCAAAAACCTGCTGTGTTTCCCAAATAGAGTTATGTCAACTGTAGATTATTCTTTGTCATTCAGACCCTGTCCAACTTACATTAGAGGAGTGGCTCATCCAGTAAGCAATGTTTTTGCCCATGAAGGGCCACTCGGTGGGGTCGGAGCTGTACTTATGCTCCATCTCCGCATCCTGGTTAGAGAAGATCATCTTCATCTGCAGCTCCAGGAACTTGGACCAGAAGGACAGGTGGGTCGGCTCCAGGGGGATCATCTCGGACTGGCGGAGGTCCAGCGACTGCTTTTCCTTCTCAAGACCTGTCAAGGAAAGGGAGTTAGTTTGGTATAATGTCACATTCATGAACTATTTGTGCGACGACCAGCCAAACAGATGCCTGTCTAAAAAAGTTAACGCATTGGGGAGACTCACCAACATGGATATATTCTGACTAAACTAGAAACATTATCTGGACAAATCTGGGACTTAAATTCAAGATCACAGGTTTCTGGCATGCCTCATAAGTGACTGTTATAGACAAATGGTTGTTCGTTACTCTTGACGCAATGACACCTCGGGGGTGATGCATGCTGGGGAATTTGCGAGAAAACTGTCACGGTGCCTCATGTAACAGAAGATCAAAGTCAATATTACACTGAAACAACGTAAGTCCACTAGAACCAGGTTACCACACATAGCGATGCACTGCAAATTGTATCACTTACAATGATTATGCAATCTGTGTAGCCATCCGAAGTGGGGTGTACTCAGAATACCACATCTGACTCTCACTCAAGGGTCACATTGTTTCATGAAAACTCACACTGCACCAGTGCACTTGTGTATCATTATACCCTCATCAATGGCTTCTCTCATTCACTTAATTGAGCAACACATGTCCCAAGCTTTCATTCATTTGCGCCCCACATTACTCCAATGTCAGGGCAGTGGGGTAGCCCAGTGGTTAAAGCGTTCACTCCTCACGCCGATGATCCGGGTTTGATTCTCCACATGGGTACAATGTGTGAAGCCCATTTCTGGTTTCCCCCGCCGGGATATTGCTGGAATATTGCTAAAAGCGGCGTAAAACTATACTCACTCACACACAGACCACACAACTCACTCTTGGTGTAGCGATGCTCCTCTACATTCCAGATGGTGGCATCCTGGTTTACCACTCGGTCAGCTGCAACCTCCATCTGATGATGACCCCAGTCCGGCAGCTGCTTCCCGTTGTCTGTAACCATGGATACATACTTTGTCATAAAATACCGAAAATACCGAGTAATTCAGTTTGAATCAGGGGGAAATGTGATTTGTCCACACTCAAACTCAACCCTCCACATATTGACTTGAACCCAGTCTGCTTCACCTTCCTTACCTTGAGAGCTGTGGTCGTGTTGATGTGGATGAGTCGTACTTGGCTCTTGATGGTCTGCCACTTGTCGTCATTTCCTTCCTTGTTGGTGATAACCTGCAACAACAGTGGAGATGTAGTCTCACTGTCTCTCCTCATCCACAAAGGTAATAAAACAAATCACAATTTTGTGTTCTTGACCCGTGAAGATCCAAGTTAGAACTGGTCTTCAGTAACCCATGCTTGTCGTAAGAGGCAACTAACAGGATCTGGTGGTCAGGCTCGCTGACTTGGTTGACACATGTCACCATAATCCAATTGTGTGGATTGATGCTCATGCTGTTGATCACTGGATTGTCTGGTCCAGACTTGATTATTTACAGACCTCCGCCATATAGCTGGAATATTGCTAAGTGCGGTGTATTACATCAAACACACAAACACACACACTCATAAAATATTTTTTCAAAACCCTCCTTGCCCTCAAAGTCCTATTATGATAATTCTCATAAAGATTTTGCTTTCTTGGTTTTTCTATTTTGGGAAAAGCTTCTCAAATATTTTCAAAGTTTGATTTATTTCTTCTTTCCTCTCCTTAAAGAGACACTGATTTTATCCCGCCTGGATTACTGCAACAGTTTACTGTTTGGCATCTCTTCGTCTCAACTCCATCGTCTTCAGAAAATCCAGAACAAAGCTGCACGCATCATCACTCTCACCAGTCCTCGCTGTCACATCTCTCCCATTCTAAACTCTCTACACTGGCTCCGTATTCATGAAAGGATTGATTTCAAGATTCTCTGCCTCACCTATCAGTCTTTCTACAACTCAGGACCTTCCTACCTTCAAGACCTTCTGACACATTACTCTCCAGAAAGAACTCTACGCTCATCACAACAACTGTTACTTGCTGTCCCGAGCTACAATCTAAAATCATTTGGCTCAAGAACCTTTTCATATGCAGCAGCTTCTCTGTGGAACTCTCTCCCTATCGAGTTAAAATCATCTCCTTCCCTAAGTACATTCAAAACACGACTAAAGACTCATCTATTTCTCCGCTACAAGTGACTTCCAATCATCCGTACCTGCCAGCTGTATATAGTTTAACTTTTAACTTAAGCTCAGGAAGTGCTTTGAGCATATCCCTGTGACGTGGAAAGGCGGTATGTAAATGGCCTATTATTATTATTATAACATTGAACGAATCCCATTTCATTGCTATACACAGCTTATGTTTCCCTTCACAATTAACTGACAACACAACATGTTTTACATACAATGTACATACTCTCCGTACAATCAGTGTCACTTACTGTTAAACACTTTAGCTTCCAATATATCACAATATGTATCGCAATACAAGTACCTTTATCGAATATATAATTCATTTTATTTGCCAATAAACAGCCCTATCATGAATAATTACTTCAGTTAGAATAATTATTGGTGTATCATTTCATAATTTTAATCCACCAAACATGGAGAATTCCGGATAAATAGAATACATTTGACTACATTATTTTATGTTCAGTTTGCTGTTATGACTCTGGTTGACGGAATCTGTAACGAAAACTACAAACGTCCACTTACAACTCGCCATAGGTTCTGTGCCGGCATGGAGACATTGTAGTCGATGTAGCAGGTCACCTCCTGGTTCTGAGGCGTCACGGGTGCCGCAACATCATGGCTGAAGGCAGATCATCATTATTAGACATCTTGTACCATGAGTGAATATTTAGAAGATAAAGCTACTCTGTTTTCAATTTTGCGGTCCTTTATCGTTGATTTAAGACTGCTAAATGTTTAATTTAAAACCGAACGCGTTAGCGTGAGGATCATAGGATCTGAGAACCTGCAAACATAGCTTTCTGCTACAGCTAAGGGACACAACTCTGTACCAGGAGTAGTTGCGCATTAAATGACTAGACCACTCCTGTTTCTCATTAAATAATTAAATATCCAAAAGTCTGGGGGTATACATCTAGCCCATGTCTCAATCTAGAGACGAACTCAACAAATACACAAAGCGTAATTGAGCAAGTAACAGGAAAACAAGATGTAGAATGATCCACAACATCAATGTACCAGTACATCAGCCAAGGTATATTTGCCATGGAGTTATCTACCTTTGTACATTACCTGGATCCAATACCACCTATAGAGCAATCATTGAGGACTGACCATTTGATTTCAAAGGGTGGGGAAGGTTAAGTGCATGGCCTCTACCTTTCCTAACAATTTGTTCCAGAAAATACCAAACTAAATGTAAAGAAATTTTACATCAATGACATAGTTTGTCTCCAGGTGTCCAGAGAAGAGAGAAGGCGCTGTGGTTAAAACAAGGTGTTAGACTTCTTTCTTCAGAGTTTCATAAAGTAGCTTACCACAAACCCCGGAACTCCTTGTGAAATATTAAATGGCTGCTTCCTGAGGAAAAATCAGTAGTGCAACAACCAACACGGAAAGTTTTTTCTGATTTCGCTAAATCTGAATACTTGCAAGCACAAAATCTGAATACTTGCAAGCACAAAATCTTTACACTCACTGCCTGATTATGACATCTTCAATATTTTGACTTGTATTTCCAAATTTCCAAATGTTACAAAACAAAGTCACCTGTTGAGTGCCCTGCTTGACATGCCGTGGACCAGTTGTACGATGTCGCCATCTTTTACAGGCTGCGGCTTCTCATCAACCACCAGGCTGTCTCTACAACAGGAAGAGAGGATGCATTTGATTTGACTAGGTACCATAGTAGCCATGGTCCACCATCAATATAAGGTGTGATGATAAGGGGTATAACCTCAGGGTTTAAGATCATTACTCGTGTGTGTGTGTGTGCGTGCGTCGATGCGTGTGCATGCATGGCGTGTGGGTGTGGTATTATAGTAGTGTGTGTGTGTGTGTGCTTGTGTGTATAGTGCTTGTGTAGTAGTAGTGTGCGCATGTGTGTGTGCATGCATGCATGCATGTGCGTGTGTGCACATGTGTAGTAGTAGTGTGTGTGTATTATTGTGTGCCGCGTGCGTAATGTAGCATGCAGTGCGTGTGTAGTGATATAGTGTAGTGTGTGTGTGTGTGTGCGTGGCGTAGTAATAGTAGTAGTAGTGTGTGTGTGCGCATGTGTGCGTAGCAGTAGCATGTAGCAGTGTAGCGTGTAGTGTAGTATAGTAGTGTGTGTGCGTGAAGTGAGCGTGTGTGTGTGCGTGTGTGTAGTATTATAGTAGTAGTGTATAGTAGTGTGTGGTTGTGCGTGTAGTAGTATAGTAGTGTGTTTGTGCATGGCTGTGCATGCATGTGTGTGCACATCGCGGTGTGTGTGTGTAGTGTGTGTGCGTGCACATGGGTGCATGTGTGTGTGTGTAGTATGTATAGTGTGTGTGTGTGGTTGTTGCGGTGTGTGTAGTATAGTAGTAGTAGTGTGTGTGTGTGTGTGTGTGTGTGTGTCTGTCTGCCTGTCTGTCTGTCTGCCTATCACTCTCTGTGTGTTGAGAGGGGGTTGGGGTCAGCTTGTTTTCATCTGGAGTAATGCCGTTATCACATTCCATGAAGTACACCAGTGTACCATGAATCCCTACACAAACACAGTACACAGAAAACCAGCGAACATTTCCAGAATTTATCCCATTATTCCCAAGCACTGGAAGGGAAACAAGAAGATGCATCTTTAAGTCCTTTAAGCCACAAGGACCGAACCAACAACATGCCGTCCATGAAATGAGCACCAGTCCCTCTTCCAGCATAACTCACCTGTCGGGATGCTTAACGATCCACCAGTTGTTGACGTCTTTGAATATATAACATGTGACCTGCTGCTGGTGGCTGCTGCCACGCCCATCAGGGTATTTGATTGGATAAACAGTCTGGTGAGAGTGTAACCAACATGGCCGCCCTGGCACGTTATCATGTGTGTGACGGAGGGTAATCTGGGAACCGTACGCCACATAGAGAGGTTGTCCCTTGGTTAATGTTGCCAAACCTCCCTGGAAATAAAATGGGAAGCATACATGGAATTTGCTATGCAACTACAGAAATGAAAGGAAAGCAATTTCATTCAAACCAGGTCTTTTATTCAATTTCAATTCCTCTGACACTTCACGTATTTTCTTCAAACTTCCCAGTAAGAAGGACAGTCCACCATATCTGATTTCTGTTCCTCAATAACAAACTTAAGAGGCCAGTTCTGAATGCAACTAATAAAGTCCATGCCTTTTTATTGCTGTGGGTATTTTATAAACTGTTGGCACTGACCAACATGACATTAGGCATTGTGAGGTTTTCATGGGGTAACAGCTGTTGTCATTAGAGCTTAGGAAGAAAACAGACATATTTCACCTCCAGACTGGCGTGGATTGCATTTGTCAAACTGTTGTCACTGAGCAACATAACATCTTGACATTTTTGGGGGGCAAACATATGAAGATCTGGGTTATAACTGATCTTCAGTAACCCATGTTTGTCATAACAGGCAACTAACAGGATCGGGTGGTCAGGCTCGCTGACTTGTTTGACACATGTCATCGTATCCTCCCAATTGCGTAGATCGATGCTCATGATGTTTATCATTGGATTGTCTGGTCCAGACTTGATTATTTACAGACCACCGCTATATAGCTGGAATATTGCTGAATGTGCGTAAAACTAAAAATAACTAAACCTGCAGAGGTTTCCAATTCTTTGAAGAGAGTCGTCCTTGGGGGTAGGGCCGCCCACCTCCCCGCAATTCTGTTCACTGATTTATTCAGCAGAAGGAATGATGATACGGGCCTAGGTGCTTACCTAGTTGGCTGTGCATGCGTAGCAGGGAGGTAACTCCACGTGGTGGGGGCCGTATAATAGATAAAAAAGATTTTATTTATTGTACAATATTTTATTAAAACATTGATACAACTGTCACAGGACATTTTCAGCCGCAGAAAAAGCATATATGTACCCCAAGGACGATCTCTCTGAAAAAGAATCACTCTCTTTTTGTGGGGTAACAACATTTGAGTTTACAAAGAAAACAGACATATCTCACCTCCAGACTAGCTTGAAAGGCACTTGTCATGATGTTGTCATGTGGCCCTGCCTTGGTGAGAAAGGAGAGGTGGCAGAAGAACATGGCAATGTATGCAGCAGCCGGGACGGCCATGACAAACATCACTCTGGCAACCAGGTGCTTTGTTAGAGAAATCTGAATAAAACACAAATGTTGTATAGACCAGTACGAAGCATCAAACGTCAAAGCAATTATAATTTCATTAATTTTTCATTTATAACAAAAGCACATTCTAAAGACTTTTATCCAATGTTGCTATGACGTTTTGACCCTTCATCTCTACAACGTCAGTTTAACAGAAAATGTTGCTAGGCATTGCCTTGGAGACTGTGAGGAATCCAGTGTACACCTTAAAGCATCCTTATAGGTGAGCATCAGGCTGGGTACGAACAAACATCCTTTTGTTATGACTTGGGATGCCACGCCCAGAGATTCCGATACTGTCATCCTAAACACTATCAAGGGACAAGAGTTTTGTAATCGACCTCACCTCTGATCTGGAAAATTCAGACAACATATTCCAGTAGTCCTTGAAGATGTGAAACAACACAAGCACCGATGTGAAGAAACCCACATACTTGATGCTGAAACAGATTTTACTGATAATTACTTGGTTACCATGGTTACTGGATCCTTCCATCTACAATACAATATTTTTCTTCAGCTTTTTGGTGTTGTAATAAGAAACATCAGCCTTTGTGGGAAGGGAAGTAACTCTATTGCTTGTCATTATTATGTTCCTGTTTGAGTTGGTTAATATATTTTTAGATCACCAAATATCTTAACATGGCTTTTGGTACAGGGTTCGCTACTTTAAGTACAAATGTGTTGACTGTCTCACTGTCTGTCTGATTGTGTGTCTCAGTCTGTCGTCTCATTCACTCAATACCTATCTGTCTGTCTCACTCCTGCCTGTCTGCCAATATGTCTGTCCTCACTACCTGTCTCACTTTCTGTCTCTCTCATCATCCATCTGGCTTACTATATTTTCTCACTGTCTGTCTGTCTCCTGATTGTCCCCCTAACTGTCTGTCTCTCTCACTACCCGTCTGTCTCACTGTATTGACTCGTTGTCTGTCTATCTCACTGTCTGTCTGTCTCACTGGATTGTCTCACTAACTGTCTGGCTCACTGTCTGTCTGTCTGACTCACTGTATTGTCTCTCTAGGAGTCTGTCTGTCTCACTGTCTGTCTGTCTGTCTGTCTGTCTATGTATTGTCTCTCTGGGAGTCTGTCTATCTCACTGTATTGTCTCACTGTCTGTCTGTCTCACTGTCTGTCTGTCTCACTGTATTGTCTCACTGGGAGTCTATCGGTCTCACTGTATTGTCTCACTGTCTGTCTGTCTCACTGGATTGTCTCACTAACTGTCTGGCTCACTGTCTGTCTGTCTGACTCACTGTATTGTCTCTAGGAGTCTGTCTGTCTCACTGTCTGTCTGTATCAATGTCTTGTCTCACGAACTGTCGGGCTCACTGTCTGTCTGTCTGTCTGTCTGTCTATGTATTGTCTCTCTGGGAGTCTGTCTATCTCACTGTATTGTCTCACTGTCTGTCTGTCTCACTGTCTGTCTGTCTCACTGTATTGTCTCACTGGGAGTCTATCGGTCTCACTGTATTGTCTCACTGTCTGTCTGTCTCACTGGGAGCCTCTGTCTGTCTGTCTGTCAGTCTCACTGTATTGTCTCACTGTCTGTCTGTCTCACTGACTGTCTGGCTCACTGTCTGTCTCACTCCATTGTCTCATTGACTATCTCACTGTATTGTCTCACTGGGAGACTCTCACTGTCTGTCTGTCTGTCAGTCTCACTGTATTGTCTCACTCTCTGTCTGTCTCACTGACTGTCTGTCTCACTCCATTGTCTCATTGACTATCTCACTGTATTGTCTCACTGTCTGTCTCTGTCTGTCTGGCTCACTGATGGCCTGTCTCACTGTATTGTCTCACTGTCTGTCTGGCTCACTGATGGCCTGTCTCACTGTATTGTCTCACTGTCTGTCTGGCTCACTGATGGCCTGTCTTACTGTATTGTCTCACTGTCTGTCTAACTCACTGATGGCCTATCTCACTGTCTGTCTGGCTCACTGATGGCCTGTCTCACTGTATTGTCTCACTGTCTGTCTAACTCACTGATGGCCTATCTCACTGTATTGTCTCACTGTCTGTCTGGCTCACTGATGGCCTGTCTCACTGTATTGTCTCACTGTCTGTCTGGCTCACTGTATTGTCTCACTGTCTGTCTGGCTCACTGATGGCCTGTCTCACTGTATTGTCTCACTGTCTGTCTCGCTCACTGATTGCCTGTCTCACTGTATTGTCTCACTGTCTGTCTGGCTCACTGATGGCCTGTCTCACTGTATTGTCTCACTGTCTCTCTGGCTCACTGATGGCCTGGCTCACTGTATTGTCTCACTGTCTGTCTGGCTAACTGATTGCCTGTCTCACTGTATTGTCTCACTGTCTGTCTGGCTAACTGATTGCCTGTCTCACTGTATTGTCTCACTGCCTGTCTGTCTCACTGTATTGTCTCACTGTCTGTCTGGCTCACTGATGGCCTGTCTCACTGTATTGTCTCACTGTCTGTCTGGCTCACTGATGGCCTGTCTCACTGTATTGTCTCACTGTCTGTCTAACTCACCGATGGCCTGTCTCACTGTATTGTCTCACTGTCTGTCTGGCTCACTGATGGCCTGTCTCACTGTATTGTCTCACTGTCTGTCTCTGTCTGTCTGGCTCACTGATGGCCTGTCTCACTGTATTGTCTCACTGTCCGTCTGGCTCACTGATGGCCTGTCTCACTGTATTGTCTCACTGTCTGTCTGGCTCACTGATGGCCTTTCTCACTGTATTGTCTCACTGTCTGTCTGTCTCACTGTATTGTCTCACTGTCTGTCTGGCTCACTGATGGCCTGTCTCACTGTATTGTCTCACTGTCTGTCTGGCTCACTGATGGCCTTTCTCACTGTATTGTCTCACTGTCTGTCTGTCTCACTGTATTGTCTCACTGTCTGTCTGGCTCACTGATGGCCTGTCTCACTGTATTGTCTCACTCCTGTTTCACTAACTGTGTGTGTCGCTGTTGGTCTCATTGTCTGACTCACCTGAATGTGCAGGTGAAGGCCAGCCCACACAAACAGAGCCAGCACCACCACTGTATTGTCTCACTGACTGTCTTACTGTCTGACTCACCTGAATGTGCAGGTGAGCGCCAGCCCACACAAACAGAGCCAGCACCACCACTGTATTGTCTCACTGACTGTCTTACTGTCTGACTCACCTGAATGTGCAGGTGAGCGCCAGCCCACACAAACAGAGCCAGCACCACCACTGTATTGTCTCACTAACTGTCTGTCTGACTCACCTGAATGTGCAGGTGAGCCAGCCAGCTGTACACACAAACAGAGCCAGCACCACCACTGTATTGTCTCACTAACTGTCTGTCTGACTCACCTGAATGTACAGGTGGCCAGCCCACACAAACAGAGCCAGCACCACCACTGTATTGTCTCACTGACTGTCTAACTGTCTGACTCACCTGAATGTGCAGGTGAGCGCCAGCCCACATAAACAGAGCCAGCACCACCACTGTACACTGAACTCCCTGAAACACAGACAACACAGGTGTACTCATAGATAGAGGGAACTGATAATCAATCAATGCCAAGATGTCATGCCAACAGTTAATATTGATGTAATCCTACAGTAGCATCAGTATCTACAGAGATCTAAAATAAACAAAACACTGCCCCTTTTAATTATTAACTTTCCCTTTTTTTATCTGATATCAATCTAGTACCTTTCATCATCAGTACCATCATCATTACCACCATAGGTACAACGTTAACGTAACTGTAAAACTGTCCTTTAAAGGGACACTGAAAACACTGAATACACATGTTCCATGTCCCAACTGTGCATGTGTGCGTGTGTCTGCAATCACTGTCATTGTGTCAGTATCCACCTGTCATTGTGTCAGTACCCACCTGTCATTGTGTCAGTACCCACCTGTCATTGTGTCAGTACCCACCTGTCATTGTGTCAGCACCCACCTGTCATTGTGTCAGTACCCACCTGTCATTGTGTCAGTACCCACCTGTCATTGTGTCAGTACCCACCTGTCATTGTGTCAGTACCCACCTGTCATTGTGTCAGTACCCACCTGTCATTGTGTCAGTACCCACCTGTCATTGTGTCAGTACCCTGTCATTGTGTCAGCACACATACCCACCTGTGTGTCAGTACCCACCCTGTCAGTACCCACCTGTCATTGTGTCAGTACCCACCTGTCATTGTGTCAGTACCCACCTGTCATTGTGTCAGTACCCACCTGTCATTGTGTCATTGTAGGTACCCACCTGTCATTGTGTCACTACCCACCTGTCATTGTGTCAGTACCCACCTGTCATTGTGTCAGTACCCACCTGTCATTGTGTCAGTACCCACCTGTCATTGTTTCACTACCCACCTGTCATTCTGTCTTTGCCCATCTGTCATTGTGTCACCCACCTGTCATTGTGTCAGTACCCACCTGTCATTGTGTCAGTACCCACCTGTCATTGTGTCAGTACCCACCTGTCATTGTGTCAGTACCCACCTGTCAATTGTGTCAGTAAGTTCCCACCTGTCATTGTGTCAGTACCCACCTGTCATTGTGTCAGTACCCACCTGTCATTGTGTCAGTACCCACCTGTCATTGTTTCAGTACCCACCTGTCATTGTGTCAGTACCCAACTGTCATTGTGTATGCACCCTCCTGTCATTGTGTCACTACGCACCTGTCAATGTGTTAGTACCTGTCAGTATGTTAGTACCCGCCTGTCATTTTTTCAGTACCCACCTGTGTGTGAGATTCCTGAACTTGAGGTAGCTGAGCACGGCGAGACAGGAGAAGAAGATGAGCATGCCTTCCATCAGCATGAACCTCGACTGAACCAGCAGGGCATTGTCTGAACAAATAACATTGACCTTATGACACACAGAGTTCATCCTGATACATACAAAGTTCATCCTGAACCCATATGAAGGAAAACTTTCGACAACTATAACCATCGTTATATTATTTTAAGTTTTCAACCAAAAAACTCTGAAAGGAAACTTAATAACAAAAGACACCTGAACCTCTGATTAGTGGTGTTTAACATTATCAGTGATAGTAGGAGATGGATTAACTAGGACTGACCATGGTAACTGAGGCCAACCAAACTAACTACTCCACAGCTATCTGGTATAACACACTCACTTACCCAGCAGCACGAAGGCACCGGCTAGCAGAGCTGCCCAGCGAGACAGACCCAGCTCCACAGCTATCTGATACACCAGCGGTACTATGAGACTGCCCAACACAGCGGGAATTAAACGCAACTGCAGAACAGGAACATTGTCTGGGTACTCTGTAAACAAGTAAAATTAGTTAAAACCCCTGCCTTGTCAGAGTTCAAGAATTCCCTGCCACCCTTAGTAATTTACTCGTTACTTTATGACTAGAACATTGCTACCATGCGTGTTTCTTGTGTATCATCATTAATGCCCCACCCAGCAATATCCCAGATATATAACAACAGTCTGTAACAAGAGTCATCAGTAGATGACAAATCCCCCCGGCCCCCACATATTTGAAAGGACAAATCATCTGACAGTCTAAAAAAATCAAGCTGGACTTTAAATTGCTAAGTCCAAATCGTTTCCATGGAAATCATGACAAATAAAAATGCCAAACATCTGTAAATAACAAAAGGCACCACTTCAAGATCTGTTTGATATATCGGCTAACTTTTGTTGAATGATAGTGAAAGGTTTTAGAGTTGTGCTCCGGAAATGAAGCCCACCCCTCCCTTTTGAGACTAAATCCAACATGTTTCAATGGAAATCAAAAAAAAATAAAAATAAAAATGACACCACAAAAATTTGTTGAAAATAGGAAAAGGCACCATTTTTTAGGTTCTCTTTGATATATCTACCATGTTTTGTTGAAGAATATTGAACGAATCATACATTTTTCAGTTATGCTCCTGGAACAAAATGATGCCGGGGGCATAAAAATCAAGTCTGGTACAAACAGGTGATTGATATCATGAGCAATGCAGTGGAGTGTGTTTACCGAGTCACAGAGCCTCACCACCTGATCTCACACTAATAGACAGGAGTCCTACTCAAGCCAACAATCCCACCCAAACAAGCATGACCACCCATCAATACCTGATCCAATTCTGTCAAAGCTGACATTGCCTTCAAATCCTGAGTAGCTTCCTGTAAATTAAAGCACAGCATTACATGGCATTGAATGTCAGAATGAAGCACTGCAAAACAAATCTAAGTCAATTCATCATTTTTATCTACTCTGTCACTCTATTTCCAATCACTGATCACGATGAAAAGATGAACGAAGGTTGATAGTTCAGCTGATTCGTAATTCTAACCCGGATCTTTAAACCTTAAGGAAATGCCAATACATCATCATCTAGTCTTGAGTTACCTGCAGCAGCAAGGAGCATCTTCCCCAGTGGAGGGTGGATGTCAAAGAAGAACACATTCCTCAGAATCAAGGACACAAACTTGGCAAAATGCAATTCATCAAATCTGAAAAATAATCAGCAACAGCAATCTGTCAGCAACAGACTATATCATGTATTGTTATTAGTTCAGCTTGGACCAGACAAACCAGTGGTTGATAGTATGAGTGAGTGAGTGTGTTTAGTTTTCACACTGCACTCAGCAATATTCCAGCTATATGGCAGTGGTCTGTAATTATTCGAGTCTGGACCAGACAATCCAGTGAACAACAGAATGAGCAGTGATCTACGCAATTGGGACACGATGACAAGTGTTAATCAAGTCAGTGAGTCTGTTAGTCGCCTCTTACGACAAGCATGAGTTACTGAAGACCAGTTCTAATCCGATCTTCACGGGTCTACTCAGTTTGGATTGATTATGAACAATACAGGGATTCTGAAGATTTTCCTAATCATCATCTCAGCTCTTAAGACAGAAACAACTTTCACATCTAACAAACACTGTTTCAGGTATAACTCTTCATGTTTGGGCTAACAATTTCAGATGTGTTCACATTCTAGCATACTCACTGACTGTGATCCACAATGTCCTAAAGATCCTTTTCAAAATTTGTAATGAAAGTCGTATGAATATTAATATGAGCATGAACATGTCCTGACTAAGAAACTATTCTTCCTTGACATAATTGAATCACAGGCAGAAAGTATTTGTGTCATGCTTGAAACACTGACTAATAAAATATTCTATCACCAAAAAAAAAATCATGTATATTTACTTTATGCATTGGTTGGTTGTTTACATAATTACTATGAGATCACATTATGAGTGAGTGAGTGAGTTTAGTTTTATACCACTTTCAGCAATATTCCAACAATATCACAGCAGGGGACACCAGCAATGGGCTTCACACATTTACCCATGTGAGGAATCGAACCCAGGGCCTTTGACGTGATGAGTGAACGCTTTAACCACTAGACTACCCAACCGCCATGAGGTCACATTATGGAAAATGGAGGTGCGCAGAAATTTGAAGCATGTCTTACACAACAGCTCTGGGTAGCCCCAGCTGCCAGGTCCGTGTTGCCAAGGAGACAGCTGTGAGAATGAACTGCATGACATCACACTCCAGCTGTACAGTGAAGGGTTTGTTTCGGGGTCTGGGAGTCGACTCAAGGGCAGAACAGTCACTGACAGTCACTTCACCGGGAATAGGAGCTCCATCACCCTGGAACAAAACATTAGTGATGGTTATTGCTCATAACATGCAGATCGATAATTGGAGCTCAAAAATAATGGGACACAATCATAACATTGTGCAAACGAAACAGGCACCAATAATACTACGATTATGACGATCGAGGACACTCCCTGTTGAAACAATATAGTTTTACGAGTAAGGAAACTGCAGCAGTTGTTTATGTCTTGAATTAACAAACATAAGAATAAGAAACATAAGCATAAAGATGAGGAGGAGAGTTTTATGGATGAAAACTTCTCCATTATGAGAAACACAGCATTTCGGAGTATATCCTTACTCCTTCATCAATGCTGGGAGGCAGAGAGCATACATATGTACATGTAAGAATAACAAAACTAATAAGATGACAAAGTTGAAGGCTAAATCAGGGAAACCAACAGTTAACTGATCTTTGTGTTCTTATTACTTTTGTTGTTCTGACATGTACATATATAGTCGGGCCAAAGGGAGATAACTTTGGACTATTTAACTATTTAGACTACTGCCCCCAAAGAATACCCCATCACAATTCAGAAGACATTCGTGGGAGAAACACCAGGAGAAACAAACATATATTCAGCAGAGTATTGAATAGACTGTAGCTTGCTTACTACTGGGATAGAATTTACAATAGCCCACAAGTACAATTCATTTCACTGATGCTGAAATACTGACGGCTGGTAGACTTTGTTAATTTTAAGTGAGTTCCTGTTTGTTATCACTATTCAGTGAGTGAGTGAGTGAGTTTAGTTTTACAACACTTTTACTTAGCAATATTCCAGCAATATCACGGCGGGGGATACCCCAAATGGGCTTCACACATTGTGAGGTGAGGTGAAATTGGGTTAAATGTCGTACTTGAGAATATTTCGCTCATATGATGACATGCATGCGCGTGTATGTGTATGTGCGGCTGCTTGTACTAGCCCAGACTGAAGCTGGTTTTATAGTGCTAGCCCACTGAGATACCATGCCGCAGTGAAGCATGAATACCCCACTCAGACACATTATACTGACTCCGAGCCGACCAGTCCTTGTTGTACCCATTAATGCCGAGCGCCAGGCAGGGACCAACAAGTACCATATTTTAACGTCTTTTGGTATGACGCGGTCGGTGATCGAACCCGCGACCTTCCGCTCTCCGGGCGGACGCTCTAACCACTACACGACGGAAGGCGGTTTTCACACATTGTACCTATGTGGAGAATCAAGCCCAGGTCTTCAGCGTGACGAGCAAACGCTTTACCACTAGGCTACCCCACCGCCCCTTATCACTATTCAGGCTAGCAGACATTCTCAGTAGATCCATCCCTGTTGACACTAGTGTTGGGAATAGGAAACCAAGTCCACTATCGATTATCGGAGGATTGTGGTGAACGATTATCAATTATAATCCAATATTCCTAAACTTTCATGAACAGTAAGTCCTTCAATCACTGTTCCTGCAATAATCAGAGTCACTGTTCCAAGTCAGTTCCTCATCATTCTGTTTTCCAGCTGAAGTCTGTGTTCTTTGTACACAAAATATTAACATGCACTGTGTGCAAGTTGATATACATGAGAGGTTGCATTTAGCAGTTTCAGGTTGCACCAGTGCAAGTTCTAAATGCTTAAATTGAGCCCTGGTTTTCTAGGCATACCTGGGGCCAAACTGTGGACCATAAATTGTGGTATCTTAGACCACTGGGCCACCCTAACCCGATATCAGTCAGTAACTAGTGCTCAGCTCAGACATTCAACAGCAGTGTGATTACCTGATCTCGTCTGCCTAGAGACACTGAATCTGTTTCTTCACCATGTTCACTGCTCAGCTGCTCCATCTTTGATTTGTCAGACTCTGAAACAAACAAGGACACACATCATGAGAGGCCAATACACTAAACCAGAACTGATCTTCAGCAACCCATTCTTGTTGTAATAATGTCATTATTTTCTTCAATTCAAAGGTATTTTAGAACATGGAAAAAGTACTGACACATTACATTCAACACGTTCATTGCAATAATTATCTCTAACTCAAAGCAACTCTAAATGGAGCATGGTCCTGATCACACTGGCTTGAAACACACGGCTACAACATTGTACAAGAAACTCATGACTCATGAACATGAACTAACATAAGAGGGAACATCCAATCATTCCCCCTGCAGTGGACAATGAATGATGAAAGTATCTTCCCACACAACAAATAATATTGTTGGTATACATGTATTGTCTGCTGTGGTGATAGGTAAGAATACCACAGTTAGGCCTTCAGCTTTATCCACTTTGATCATTATTAACATGCATCAAGAAACAGCAAAAGACAGAAAAATACTAAGAGCTGTTTCCCCTATTTCTACTTCACATGAAAAGTATCATGAATGGTCATAGCTTGGTGTCATACATCATTATTTCAAAATACAACATTGCAGTTGGTTTGTACCATATTCAATATCAGAAATCTGGCAATCTGAGACAGGAACATAAGTAATGCTTACATGATACTGTGAAATAGTAGAACGGGTCCAAGTCATTATGAATCTGACATCAACGTGTAAGGTAATATAGATAGTGTCATGGTGGATTTGTTTTGTACTCACACAGATTGCGTCCCATACCTGCTAGTTTCTGCATTACCATGACTACAAGGCTTTGTGATCATGATCATGATGATGGAGTATTTTGACCCAGTGTTAAATTAGTTTGGGAATTGTAAATACCAGTTGACATCTAAACAAGTATAAATGAACCCATCCTGAGAATGTAGCATGGAGTCATCTCAATCCATCACCGGGACAGATGCATGACCTAGCCTAACCTGTATTTCTTGTTCTTACAACAAATGTCAGCAAAACAACAAACAAGCCATTTGATCATGTGACATTGACTCAAAGTGTGGTACAGACAGGTCCACATAAACATCAAGTTAAAATGACGACATATATTAACATACAGATCCAGTAATTTTAAACTTTAAACATGTTAGATCTAAACCTTGCCTCAAAATACGTACGGTATCACACCTGCTGCCTGAATTTTTTTTAAATCGTGAACACACTCAGGAGTAAAGGTCGCACTGAAGGGGTATGGTTATATTTCTTATGTTCATATGAACTGAAATACACCTGTCAACTACCATGAATAAGTAAATGACATAATGAGGATACGTTGACAGGTGGATGCAGATGACGTTGGACTCTTCTACGATGTCTACTGTCTGGGATGAAAACCTCAGCAAATACACACAAATGTCGACATAGAATCAATTCATGAATATGAAAAAACGTGAAACATTTATACCCTGTTCTAAATAACTCCCAAGTGTCGATCTTCTCAAGTGCGGTTGCAACTCTACTTGATGGTCGTGATTGGCTTCCATGGGAGGTAACTCTAAATTCGCGAGTCAGTTGCCAACCACAATTAAATATTTTACAGTGACCGAACAGAGATTGACAGACACATTTACGACTCAAACGTAAAAATGAAATTTCACGTAAAATAACATTACACGAGGCCAGCGTATACTGTTATATCATTCTGCAACAATAACACGATCCCATGGATATGCTGTAGAAAGTTCCTGTTCTGGGGTTATTCTATTAATAGTTTATGGGGCTCCGTTTAAGGTTACATATTCGGTTTTATATTGAACACAGTCTACAAAGTACAAATACATGTTACAATGCTAAGAGACTGATAATGTATGATGGTGATGGGTGGGATGATATTCCATTATCATGTTTGCCGACCTCCGATATATTGTGACATGCCCTACCCCCATCCCACCCTAACTCCAAATAATAAATAACAGCCCCTATGTAGCATTCAATACTATATAAAATGCATTTGTAGTACATGTAATAGAACTCTCAAGCTTGTGATAAATTTAGAAGGCCGACTCTTTTTCGCTGCCAATCGATCAATCAATCAATCAATCAATCTCAATCTACAAGCATGGCCCGGGTTGCTGTTCAAAAGGCCAATTCTAACCCGGTCACATCATCTAGGCAACAGGTTTTGTGACCTTCTATTTTAGTGATACGTGGCAAAGGTCACTGATGAGGTCTTTCCATTCAGGAGGAAGACGTCAATGAAGATTTCTGGTGTCCCCGCCGTGATATTGCTGGAATATTGCTAAAAACGGCGTAAAACCATACTCAGTTAGTCAGTCAGTCAGTCAATGAAGGACCCTTACAAAAATGATAAGTAGAAATTGCTCGTCATGAAAAGTCTCTGAAATGTTTGAATGTTTAACCGTACATATGTCCATTCGAGAGAGAGAAAGCAAAATTGGACATCTCTTCCATCACATAATATCTTGGCACTGGTTCTCCCTAATAGTAAGAAAGATTTCCCAAATGTTAAAATAAACCGGGCAACAGTTTTCAAGTATTAGTGTTTTCGCAATTCGAAAGTAAAAAACATATAAAAAACTAGTATCTCAAGATCACCCGACGAAAGGACGGCGCACTTCTTTGGTACAACAATATATCTCCGGACTTTTAGGTCGGAGGCCTGAACATGTTCTCAATCTATAAAAGTGAAATATTTATTTATTTATTTATTTATTTATTTATTTATTTATTTATTTATTTATTTATTTATTTATTTATTTATTTTAAAATTGGGGGAATATATCCACTGATCGAAATCAAAACACTGAAACACTGTGGAAAAATAACTATGAAGTAGTTTTCAGGGTTTCAGGTTTCAGGTTGCTCAAATGATCAAGTTAAAAAAATCCAAACAAACACATCTAAGAAATGTAACTCTGCATTCCACCTCCTCTGTCATTACGGAAACTGTTCCCTAAATTTGAAAAGATCCATGCAGTTGTTTTCAAGTAAAATATCTCACAACTGTGTAAGTAAAGCATGAAAAATAGACGTATTCTTTCAAAAAATCCAACCTTTGGAAGCAAGATGTTTTGGGTTTAGAAAGTTTTCACCAAGTTTGAAAATAATCTACGAAATAGTTCATTCGTCATCACTCACCCCTTTCCGTAATCTACAAGCTTGTTTCGGAAATAACACGAGTTGGTCACGAATGCGAAATAGTTGTCAAGTTGTAGGTAGCCCCAAAACAGACAGACGGGCGAAATCCCATGGTACTACAATATACTGTAAAAATATCTTCCTGGGTCTACTCCCATTTGTGAGAACTCCCAGTTGTGAGACTCCCAGTTGTGAGACAGTGGAGAAGGTAAGTAGCAAAGAAAACACACCTTACTCCCCTATCTGATAGAATGGATTAACCCCAGCTAATTAGGGATTAGCTATTTAACTGAATCTTGTGGAGTAAAGTAATTAACCTACTCAGGTAAATGGCTTTAAAAAATAAACACATTGTAGGTAACTTCGTGATCATTTGAAAGAGAAATTAATTTACCTACTCAGATTTACGTGATGACACACAAACATAATTGGGAATAAAAAATCATAATGAAATATTTAATGAACTATACCACGTAACACACTGTAATCTTGCTCAAAGTAACAATATAACCACTAAAATATGAACCCCAAGTGAATTTTGATTTAGATAAATGGACCTAATTATTCTCATGGTATTTTCATCCGAAGCTATGCAACTGAAACTTCATGAGAGGAGGATGATAAAATTTCACTTGGTCAAAGTCTGCGCCATCCATGGAGGTAGTTCTTATACTATTAAGATGCAATGTCCTGCAAGCCCAGTGTGACTCTTTACACAGTTCCAGGATTTCCTACGACTGCGTGAATTCAGGAACTAAGGGGCAACAACCCCAATTAGGTTTTGAAGGAGTGCGCCCGTGAAGGTCCGGGTTAGAATATTGATCTTCAGTAACCCATGCTTGTCGTAAGAGGCGACTAACGGGATCGGCTGGTCAAGCTTGCTGACTTGGTTGACACATGCCATCGTATCCTAATTGCGTAGATCGATGTTCACGCTGTTGATCACTGGATTGTCTGGTCCAGACTCGATTATTTACGGACCGCCATCATATAGCTGGAATATTGCTGAGTGTGGCGTAAAACTAAACTCACTCACTCACTCACTCACCTTTAAAGGAGTCCCCGCTTGAGAGTCTGCAGGGAACGTCTTAAGACCAGCTACCAATTATAAGCCGCTAGAGAAGAAAGAGAGGGAGTCTAAGGCACAAGGATTCCGAGATAAGTTCCGCACGACAAAGCCAAGAGTGAAGGCGAGTGAAACTTGAAAGCTGCTTTACGCGGCAACGGCAATTTTGCAGCTATTCACAGCGAACCAAGAGTGAAGGTATGTTTCCAGTGTGCGAAATAGCCACTGGCCCGCTAGCCCGTAGCTATTAAAAATCCAGTCGGACCAGTAAATCTCCACAGTCACTGGCCCGACTGGCTAGTGAATTTTCATGGAGTCATTTTGTAAATATATCACTATCCGACTTGTTAAGTTATAATACACTTTCAAAACACGCAAGATTATGGCCTGATAAATATGATAATGATGAAATCCGTGTCATGCCGACAATATCTTATACGTATCTATTTGTTTAGTTTCTACATTCAAATTTCGGGCTTGTGAGTTATTTTGTGGGCTAGTAACTTTCAGGCATAGCTATAGACCGACTGGCTAGCAAAATTTGGAAACTGTTTCGAACACTGTATGTTTCCACGAAAATAATTGTCTTCTGATAAGTTGTTTCTAATAAGTCAGTGTCATTACTGTAACTTGAGCACAAGTTATAAACTTGTCTGTCTCACAGTCCCTGAACCACATTATTTCCCCTACAGCCAAGCCCTCTCAGCAATGCCAAAGCCCTAAATGAAGCAAGTCTAGATTTCCTCAGGAATCTCCCAACTCACTTGGGGGCTCCTTTTCAATTTAAATAGGTTTATTTGTTACTATCGAAATTATATATATTCAGGGACAAAGCGTTAGTCTAGTTATATACTCCTGGGCGGAAAATATAACACAAGGTTCAGTAGAGTCAATTTATCTTTTAATTCTTCTCAACTGGAGACAATGCTGACAATGGAAGGGGGTGGGGGTTGGGGGGGGTGGTGACCCGCTCAATAGCGAAGGCAATGAGCACGAATTGACATCAGTCACCACTGACGTTCAGTAACGGTTGATTATTTGGTGTTAAGATGAATGCACGTGAGCAAATGTACTTGCGACTTGCTTAGACAACAGCCTGCTTACTTCTGCCGCATATAGTGACGAATGTGGCAAAGATAGTTTAGAAAATAAAATATGTTATTGTAAGAGGAATTGATTTGTGGCAGGTTATTAGTAACGTTAAAGGTATGCGGAAAATACGAAATGTGATACTTGAATTACTTCTTTAGAAGTTGCAAACTCCCATATATATATTGTGTTTTATGATAAATATCTTTCAGCCAGTAAATACACTATTTTGCGAGATCGGTCATATTGTACATGTATGCAGTATAGCATACAAAATGCACATATACGAAGGTTGCTTCTTGTAAAAGAAACAATCTGTAAATATGTTCAATATTACCTGTTAAAATTTATTAGCTTGACGGGTCGTGTGACGTGATCTTGGCGTGATAGGTCCTCTATACACTATTTATTGTAGCATTACGGAGAGCCAGAAGATGTGACCCAATCGCCTAGGAAGCTAGAGGATGTGACTCACTGGTCAGAAATCAGTGGACAGAGATTTCAATGAATGCATCTTCAGGCCTCTACTAGTTAACAGTGATTGCAGCCTGCCCTCCATGGACAGCGATTTCAATGAATGCATCTTCAGGCCTCTACCAGTTAACAGTGATTGCAGCCTGCCCTCAATGAACAGAAATTTCAATGAATCCATCTTCAGGCCTCTACCTATTAACAGTGAACCCAGCCAGCTTTCTAAGGACAGAGATTCAATTAATCCATCTTTAGGCCTCTACCAATTAACAGTGATTGCAGCCTGCCCTCCGTGGACAAAGTTTCAATGAATCCATCTTCAGGCCTCTACTCATTAACAGTGATTGCAGCCTGCCATCCATGAACAGGGATTTCGATGAATCCATCTTTAGGTCTCTACTAGTTAACAGAGGTCTCTACTAGTTAACAGTGATTGCATCCTGCCCTCCATGGACAGAGATTTCAATGAATGCATCTTCAGACCTCTACAAAGTGACAGTGATTGCAGCCTGCCCTCCATGGACAGGGATTTCAATGAATGCATCTTCAGGCCTCTACTAGTTAACAGTGATTGCAGCCTGCCCTCCATGGACAGGGATTTCAATGAATCCATCTTTAGGCCTCTACCAGTTAACAGTGATTGCAGCCTGCCCTCAATGAACAGAAATTTCAATGAATCCATCTTCAGGCCTCTACCTATTAACAGTGAACCTAGCCAGCTTTCTAAGGACAGAGATTCAATTAAACCA